CGTCAAACATATTAAATGATTCAAGTAAAAAAAAATACTAAAATACAAAGTAGTGTTGCTTACAGGGCAGAGATCAACAAACTAGATCACACCACACACAAGTTCAAAAATAGATATGACGGTTTAATCACAGCCAGTTGATCAAAAGTCGAGTGACCAAGAACTGGAGCTAACCTCTTCCCTCCCCAACGTTTCCCTAATAGTCTTGGGTAATTACTGGACTACGATGCATACCTGAGGTATATCATGGAGCCCCAGCAATAAGGAGTGGAGCAAAAAGTTAATCAGTAGTCAAAATGACACACCAGAAATATGAAATACATTCTGCACTTTTAGCTTTGCTTTATTTAGAAAATAACCTTCACTTTCCACAATTTCCAACTCCTATGAAAATAAGCAAGAAAAATTTGAAACGTGTACAAATTTGTTTCTTTACGTGACATGTTTGATTAACTTATTATAGAGATACACCAATACAGTCTGCAAATAGATGTGAAAGGTCAGAACAGGAGATATTCTCTAACAGGAATGCCTTATCTGCTAAATAAGGTAATTGAGAGCGTAGACAGTTTTGTACAGTACAGCATATGAATTCAGCAACTGATATGCACAGAATGCTAGAAATTGTCCTCAATATACAGCCTCTCCTCAGTTTCCAATGTACTCGTTTACCAACAACTCAGAACTACGACATGCTCTCCAACGAGCCGGCATTGTATACTATACGAGAATTTGGATCATGGAAACTGGCAGCGTGGCATCTCGGTGTCCAGCATCTCATTCTCCTTCCTACAGCCATTCGGTACACTAGCTTTCACAGTCTCCAAGACTACGTATCTGTACAAATTTGTACTTTATTGTGCACCCCATAGTACAAGATAGTTGTAAGTGCAGCAGCACTTGTAAGAGAAAAGACAAGAGGACAATGGAAGTACAAAAATTCACAGTAAAGGCGGTTAGCTGGTGTGTTTCTCTGTTTACATTCTATGTCTTGTAGCAGCTTAAGAAATGATTAAACTCAGTGAACAACAAGCATGCACGAGCGTGTTAGATAGGAGTGAATGGAGACGAATGATACTTGGGACCTGACGATCTGTTTGGAGTGTGAGCAGGGTAATATTTAGTGAAGGGATTCAGGGAAACCGGTTATTTTCATATAGTCGGACTCGAGTCCTGGAAATGGGAAGTACAGTGGACCCCCGCATACCGATTTTAATCCGTGCAAGAGGGGTCATTGTTATGCGAAATAATCGGTATGAGAATTAATTTTCTCCATAAGAAATAATGGAAATCAAATTAATCCGTGCAAGAGACCCAAAAGTATGAAAAAAAAAATTTTTTTACCACATGAAATGTTAATTTTAGTACACACAAACTGAAAAAGGCATGCACACTTACATGACACTTACTTTTATTGAAGATCTGGTGATGATTGATGGGATGGGAGGAGGGGAGAGAGAGTGTTAGTGTTTAGAAGGGGAATCCCCTTCCATTAAGACTTGAGGTGTCGAGTCCTTTTCTGGGGTTACTTCCCTTCTTCTTTTAATGCCACTAGGACCAGCTTCAGAGTCACTGGACTTTTCACACACACATATCTGTCCATAGTGGCCTGTACCTCTCGTTCCTTTATGACTTCCCTAAAGTGTTTCACAACTTTTCAGTGTAATAATCACCAGCACGGCTTGCAATAGCTGGTGAGAGTGATACTCATCCATAAAGGTTTGCACTTTCAGCCACATTGCACAGATTTCCTTAATCTTTGTAGTAGGCAACTTCTTCAATTTCTCTCTCCCCTCCTCTGAACCAGTTTTCTCAGGTCTGGCCTCTTGCTCTTGAAGTTGATCTATCAGCTCATCAGTGGTTAGTTCTTCATTGTCCTCCTCCACCAACTCTTCCACATCCTCCCCACTAACCTCCGACCCCAAGGACTTTCCCAATGCCACAATGGATTCCTCAACTGGCATAATCCTCTCAGGGTTAGCCTCAAACCCTTCAAAATCCCTTTTGTCTACACATTCTGGCCACAGTTTCTTCCAAGCAGAGTTCAAGGTCTTCTTAGTCACTCCCTCCCAAGCCTTACCTATAAGGTTTACACAATTGAGAATATTAAAGTGCTCTCTCCAAAACTCTCTTAGAGTCAACTGAGTTTCTGAGGTCACTACAAAGCACCTTTCAAACAGAGCTTTTGTGTACAGTTTCTTGAAGTTTGCAATAACCTGCTGGTCCATGGGCTTGCAGGAGAGGAGTGTTTAGGAGGCAAAAACTTCACCTTAATGAATTTCATTTCCCCATAAAGTCGCTCTGCCACGTCTGTAGGATGACCAGGGGCATTGTCTAACACCAGGAGGCACTTAAGTTCTAATTTATTTTCAGTTAGGTAATCTTTCACATTGGGGGCAAATGCATGTTGTAACCAGTCATAGAAAAAGTCCCTAGTGACCCATGCCTTACTGTTTGCCCTCCACAGCACACACAAATTCTCCTTGAGGACATTCTTTTGCCTGAACGCTCTGGGAGTTTCAGAGTGATACACTAATAAAGGCTTAACTTCACAATCACCAGTAGCATTGGAACACATCAACAAAGTAAGCCTGTCTTTCATAGGCTTATGTCCTGGGAGTGTCTTTTCCTCCTGAGTAATGTAGGTCCTGCTTGGCATTTTCTTCCAAAACAGCCTGTTTTCATCACAATTAAACACTTGTTCAGGTTTCAGTCCTTCAGTCTCTATGTACTTCTTGAATTCCTGCACATATTTTTCAGCCGCTTTGTGGTCCGAACTGGCAGCCTCACCATGCCTTATCACACTATGTATGCCACTACGCTTCTTAAATCTCTCAAACCAATCTTTGCTGGCCTTAAATTCACTCACATCAGCACTAGTTGCAGGCATTTTTTTAATTAAATCCTCACGCAACTTCCTAGCCTTTTCGCTTATGATCGCTTGAGAGACGCCATCTCTGCTAGCCTGTTTTTCATTTATCCACACCAATAAGAGTCTCTCAACGTCTTTCCATCACTTGCGATCTTTGTTTCGAAAACACAGTTAAACCTTTGGCAAGAACAGCTTCCTTGATTGCCTTTCTGGTGCCCACAATAGTAGCGATGGTTGATTGGGGTTTCTTGTACAACCTGACCAGGTCGGCGATACGCACTCCACTTTCATACTTATCAATGATCTCTTTCTTCATTTCTATTGGAATTCTCACCTTATTGGTGTAGGGTTGGCACTAGAAGCTTTCTTGGGGCCCATGGTCACTTATTTTCCAGAAACACACCGAAAACACTGTAATAATATGAAATATTCCGATTGTATGCTTGGATGTTACCGCGGAGGCTGGCTGGTAAACAATGGCACGGGCGGCACATGTGAGGCTGGCTGAGGGCGCACATTGGACGCGTCTCGGACGAAAATCGGTGAGCGGGTTTTTAAGCGGTATGCGAGGCAAAATTTTTGCGATTAAAGCAAGCGGTATGCAGATTAATCGTTATGTGGTGCCATCGGTATGCGGGGGTCCACTGTACAATGCCTGCACTTTAAAGGAGGGGTTTGGGATATTGGCAGTTTGGAGGGATATGTTGTGTATCTTTATTCGTATATGCTTCTAAACTGTTGTATTCTGAGCACCTCTGCAAAAACAGTGATAATGTGCGAGTGTGGTGAAAGTGTTGAATGATGATGAAAGTATTTTCTTTTTGGGGATTTTCTTTCTTTTTTGGGTCACCCTGCCTCGGTGGGAGACGGCCGACTTGTTGGGGGGGGGGGGGGAGAGAGAAGAAAAAAAAGGTAGTAGGTTAGTAGACAGCAACCACCCAGGGAGGTAATACTGTCCTGCTAAGTGGGTGTAAAACAAAAGCCTGTAATTGTTTTACATGATGGTAGGATTGTTGTTCTTTTTCTCTCTCAAATATGCAAGATTTCAGGTAAGGCTTGCTACTTCTACTTACACTTAGTTCACACTGTACATACATGTACAAGCATTTATATACACACCCCTCTGGGTTTTTTCTATTTTCTTACTAGTTCTCATTTATTTCCTCTTATCTCCATGGGGAAGTGGAACAGAATTCTTCCTCCATAAGCCATGCGTGTTGTAAGAGGCGACTAACATGCCAGGAGCAAGGGGCTAGTAACCCCTTCTCCTGTATACATTACTAAAATTAAAATGAGAAACTCTCATTTTTCTTTTTGGGTCACCCTGCCTCGGTGGGAGACGGCCAACTTATTAAAAAAAAAAAAAGTAACGAGTGCACTGTGTTTTTTACTTTTTTATTGATTTTTCCAACATGTAAAAATTATGCAAATTAAAACAACGTTATCAAGCTGGAGTTTCCTTTTTATTTTTTTCTTTCTAATATACATATTTAATTCATCATTTGGCATCATTAGAAAGTGGGCGGAGCTACAGGAGAAAGTGGGCGAAGCTATAGCAGAGAGGAAGAGAAGTGAGCAGTGTCACAGTAACTCAAGATTGCCCATGACGCATCAAGGGGTGGACCTCTCAGCACTACGAAATACTTTATAATTATACTATTACTATCAAGTAAGTTTATCTACTTACCATATTTATTCCAGAATAATATCAGGTATATCAATGTAGAAGCATAATAAAGATGTCCAAATTAATAAAAACTTGACATTACATGGAGAGATATTGAAGGGTGGACAGCATTAAGGGATTAAAAAACAAAAAGTAATCAGCTACGCACGCATTTTCTGGAATATCTCGGAAGCAAGTTATTGACCTATTTCGTGTTGTATTACCTTTAATAATGAACAGATTGACTGTATTTTCACAGGAAACAAAACTGAATGTTTAAATTTTGGGTGGTGACATTTTGAAATATCAGTAAGGGGAGATTCCTCGATTAGCGACAAATTCGTTTACTGACAGTCTTAGGAACAGAACTCCATCGGTAAACAAGGAGAGACTGTGTTAACAATACACCCTCCCTCTCACCCATACATATATGTAGTAACTTCATAAAGAAAAAAATCTTACCTTTCAAATTACAAGGTTTATCCTCTTCTGTGTGGGGACTGCTGTTAGTGAAGACAGAGTCAAGGTCGTCAGGCACCACTGTTAACCTTTCAGCACCCAACTCCTCTATGTTCCACTCCCTTGCAAGAGAAATAGTAAAATATCTTCATGTGTCCTGTGTGTGTTTTTTTTTTTTCTTTTTAAGTTTATACAATTTCACACTTTTTCCAACACATTACCTTTNAACCTTTTTAAATAACAAAAAAAGGCACAACACCGTGACTGGAACGATACTCAAATAACCTGCACATAAAAATGAGCTTACGACGACGTTTCGGTCCGACTTGGACCATTTACAAAGTCACACTAACGAAAAGGAGAGCAGGAAGGGTATATGTAGGTAGGAGGTGGTAGTAGTGGAGGTGGAAGGAAGTAGTAGAGAGGAGGTAGTAAGAGGAGGAGCCAGTCAAATACTAAGAAAGGGGAGCATTGCAAAAGAGCTAGGTGTCCACAGAGGGTAAGAGCAAGAACACCGAGGAGGGGGGGGGGATAAACTAACAAATACACAGGGCAGAAGACAACTCAAATGAGAAAAAGGAAAGAGGAAAGGGGAAGAGGGAGAAGAACAAAAGGAGGAATCAGGTTGGGTCACGGGTGTTTTGAAGTTTGGAGCATTTTACAATGTAGTGGGAGAGGAAGGCATCTACAGAGACGAAGCCAGGACTAAGATTCATACAAGGAAAGTTGTGTATTAGGGAGGATTCAACCAAACGGTGACTGTTAAAGTTGGAAGTAGGGAAGACAGTTTTAGCAGAAGACCAGTCAATAGGATGGCTGTGATCTCTGTCTTCCCTACTTCCAACTTTAACAGTCCCCGTCTGGTTGAATCCTCCCTAATACACAACTTTCCTTGTATGAATCTTAGTCCTGGCTTCGTCTCTGTAGATGCCTTCCTCTCCCACTACATTGTAAAATGCTCCAAACTTCAAAACACCCGTGACCCAACCTGATTCCTCCTTTTGTTCTTCTCCCTCTTCCCCTTTCCTTTTTCTCATTTGAGTTGTCTTTACCCTGTGTATTTGTTCCTTCTTTATTTATTTCCTCCTCCCTCGGTGTTCTTTCTCTTACCCTCTGTGGGCACCACCACCACCGCCAACGCCGCCGCCAACGCCACCGCCACCACCACCTGCCTACATATACCCTTCCTGCTCTCCTTTTCTTTAGTGTGACTTTGTAAATGGTCCAAGTCAGATTGAAATGTCATTGTAAGCTCCTCTCTTCTATGTACGGGTTATTTGTTTAACAACCTTTTTCTTGTTCAATCGATGAAGTCAAACATTACTTTTCATTGCACAATCTATAAATTCAAACATGATGTACCTGTGCAATAAACACTTCAGAAACTGACAGTTTTGAGTGGATGGGGCTTTCCGAGTGGTGGAAGACGAGGAGGAGTTTGAGATAACCAGTCCCTCAACTGAACAAATTGACTGCAAGCTGAGGGACTGATTACCTAAAACAACAACTGATCTTCAACTGATCTTCCACCATTCTTCTCAGTATTGGACTGAGGAAGCCATTGGCTAGCAAAACACTTCAACAACAGATACTACAGTGTTACACTAATGTCTCAGTCATCAACTTGTTGGTTTTCTAAACCATTTATAAACAATGACAAATTGGTAATTATAATATACAAGCTTCAGATGTTATCCTTGTATGACTTGTTATAAATTAGTGATAACATACATCAGAGCCCTAAAGTTCAAGAACTACACATTAAGTTTACTTCATCTTTACCTAGCTTAATGAAGGAAAGCTAACCTAAAAGTTCAAGGATCAAAAAGCCACTCAGTACTCTATACAATGAAAGGATTCCACAATTCAAATACTTACCTCACAAAATCAAACTAAAAAAACTCAAACAGCAAATTAATAGGCCAGAAAATCAAATAGGCCAGAGCCATGGACAAAGCATGTGCCAGTCAGTGGTATACTATGAGTTATATATGGAGTAAGAGGAATGGGAGGAGCACCAGCAAGATGTGGCTAAGGGACATAACAGCTTCCTTACCTTGAACGTAAGGACTAGTGCATACACTCATGTCATTTTATATAATTCTATTCTGGTATCTTGACCACCCTAAATTTGAAGAGCAAAACAAACAAGGGGGGGGCTGAATGATAGTTTTAGGCCTTTCATGTTGTAATCAACACCAGAAGATCCCTTGAACAGATCTACTTGAACTTCCAGGCCCCATGGCCTGGTGCCCTAAGTTCTTGCTTCATATGGTGAGGGTCCAGGTTCGATTCCCAGCAAAGGGGTGGAAACTTTGGACGTGTTTTCTTACACCGTTTGTCTATGTTCACCCATCAGTAAAATGGGTACCCGAGTGTTAATGGACTGGTGTGGGTCGCATCCTGGGACAAAACTGACCTAATTTGCCCGAAATGCTCTGCATAAGAAGGGGCTTTCTATATAGTAGGTCATTAACCCTTTCAGGGTCCAGAGGACAAATTTCAAAGGGTGCACCAGTGTCCAAGAATTTTCAAAAAGTAATTTTGTTATTTTTTCTTATGAAATGGTGGAGAATCTTTTTCTGAAAGTAATAAAACAAAAAGTACAAAATTTGATGAAAAATTTACAAAATTATGCTCTCGCGAATTTTGACGTGTCAGCGATATTTACACATCAGCGATTTTGCGGACTTTGACTCCCATTTTAGGCCAAATTCTTAACTATTTCACTAGTATTACTTCTATTCTATTGACTGAACACAAGAATTTGCCAAGTCAACTGTTTCAACTACAAAATAAAGTGAACGGAAATTGGTAATTTGGCCAATTTAATGCAAAGTTCAAAATACTCTAATTTCAAAATAGGGTCCAGAATAAACAATGTAGACATTCCTGGCACTAAACTAACATTTCCTCTGTTCATTAGTTAAGTTTTCAGGCTTTACTAATGAATTCCATTTTGATTTTTTATTCACATAATGAATTTTTATTCACACCAAAAAATAGATTTACTGTTATGCAATATTTTAATAATTGTATAAATAACATCAGCACATTTGTGAATGTATATTAGACCCACCAGCAGGCATTTATTAGACATGTGAGGCCATTTGTTTACTCCTGAACATAAGCAAAAATTTAACATTTCTGCTACTTTGAGCTAAGTTTCAAGCCATTTCCAGTACTAAAACCAATCAAAATCATCTCTATTTCAGTCATGTCTTCCATTCTATCAAATGAGACCAAGAAATCGCAAATACAACTATAAAAATACATACGAAAAAACACTGTAAAGTCGCTATTTTAATCGAAAATTGCAGTCTGTTTTTTTTTCTCTTATTATGCACTGTGTGCTGCAGGATTTGTTTTATGTGGTGCACACATACCACATAGATGCATTCTCTCATATCAAGGCCAAAATTTACCGCTCACAGCTTATCAGAGTGAACTGAGCTCATGACGTAGATCTACGGTTTGGACCCTCAACGTAAAGCCGTAGATCTACGGCACAGACCCTCGAGGGGTTAACATCAGCTAGGCCTGTGCATCATGTACATGTACTTGTAATAAATAAAGATATTATATTCCAACTTATTTCTGCAACACTGCAAGTTCCTGATGTGTTGATTACAACACGAAAGGCATAGAGCTATCATTTAACTCCCCTCAAGGTTGTTTTGCACCTTGTGTTGCTTCCTCACAATTGCTGCACTACATTTAACCCTTTGAGGGTCAACAGGCCCTCTCCGAAACTCGTTCTCAGGGTCGGCAAAATTTAAAAAAAAAAAAATTATTTTCTCTTATGAAAAGAAAGAGAATCTTTCCCGATCATAACGACACCAAAAGTTTGAAATTTGATAGAAAACTTACGGAATTATGCTCTCGCAAAGTTAGCGGTCTCGGTGATGTTTACGCATCGGCGATTTTGCCCACTTTGAGCCCCATTTTCGGCCAATTTTCACTGTACTATCGACAAAACACATAAATATTTCGCTAGAACTACAATTTTTTCTATCGAATGGGTGCAAGAAACCACTCATTTATGAAATTCAACTATCCATACAGTGGTCAAATTTAGCAATTTTGCCAATTTCACACAAAATTTCAAAGATGCCAATTTCCGAATAGGGTCCAGAATAAACAAGAAAGACATTCCTGGCACTAAAATGACATTTCCTCTAGTCATTAGTCCGTCTCAAGGCCCCTCTTATATTCTTTTGCTTTCCACTTTGAATTTTTAATTCTCACAAAAAATATAAGATTTACTGTTATGCAGACTACTGCATTAGTGTAAAAAATGGTATAAATATTATTGGTGCACTTGTAAAAGAATATTAGACTCACCAGTTGATGTGTATTGCACGCTTGGCATGATTTGTTTACTTTTGAAGTTTGGTAAAAATCGAACATTTCTGCTACTTTGAGCTCAATTTCAAGGCACCTTTCATTGTAAAACCAGTCAAAATCATCTCAATTTCTGTAATATGTCTTCCATTCTATAAAACGAGACCAAGAAAACTAGAATACAACAATAAATACCATACGAAAATACACTGCAAAGTCGCTGATTTATTAAAAAAAAATGGTCAAAGTTTTTTTTTTCTCATTATGCACTGTGTGCTGCAGGATTTTTTTTAGACTGTGCACACTGACCACATAGACCCATTCTTTCATATGAAGGCCTACCAGCTTTCTCCCACTAGATTTGAGGCCGCTAGAATTTATGAGTACTAGTACGTCAAAAACCCCTACGCGTAAGACGTACTAGTACGACGAAAACCCTCAAAGGGTTAAAATGATGGAAATACATTCAGTAAAAATGCCACGAGTGTATGCACTCTTGCTCCTGCCTTATTCTTAAATTACATACAATCTTTTCAATACTCTTCTACAAAGTGAACCAAATATAGTTGAACCTTTGTTGTACAAGGTTCAATGATGGTATTTTATTAACAAGTTTCATCCACTAGTGACTATCACTTCACACAGATCAACAAGACATGGGTACACTGTTATTCATTTGTAGGCTACCACTTCTAGAGGACATCCTGGCACATTATCCTGGAAATCCCTCTGGTAGAAGTTTTGAGCACACACTATATACCTGCATTTATTTATACATGTCCATCCAATGCCCTGGACCCCCCCCCCCCCCCCAAACATCTTTGCATAGCACTAGGTATGGGTAACTAACAAACACTGGTGCAACACAATCAAATTCTGTAGAGATTTCCATTAATAGTTCAGAACCAGCATGTCAAGATGTCAAAAATTTTCATGACCAAAGGTGGTAGTGTAGTTCCTATGTATAAAAATGAAATCTAGTTTACACATTTCTCTGGTTTCATAAAAATTACAAGCTCCAACCTGCATTAAGTCATCAAACTAGGTCAACTTCACACACGCTACATAACCAAGGCTTTATGTCATTAAAAGAAAAAATTCTGGCGTTTAGAGAAATAGTCAGTTTTCCGCTGTTAGTTTCACATGATCTGATACAATTTTTACTGAATAATTCTGTTAAGAAATTTTCAGCTGTTCAGGTTTTAGATAAGAATTCACCTGAAAGCCAACTGAAATAGACTAATAAAGAAAGCAGCATCACAAGGTATCCCAGAGAAAAGATTTGAAAAAAAACCTATTAAATGCACAATTTTAAATTCCTAAAACCTCACCAAGTGACCCTAATACAGAAACATAGATATAACAGTTCAGATGTCACTCCAAGCAGCAAATATTCCAAACCCCTCCTTTAAAGTGCAGGCACTGTACTTCCCACTTCCAGGACTCAAGGTCAGCTAACTGGTTTCCCTGAATCCCTCACTCACACTCCAACAGCTCGTCACATCCTATAAACCATTTGTCTCCACTTCCTCCTATCTAACATGTTCATATGTCTGCTTTATGTCCAAGCCTCTTGTACACAAAACCTCTTTTTACCCCCTCCCTCCATCCTTTCCTAGGACAACTCCCACCCCTCCTCCCCTCCACTACAGATTTATACATCCTCCAAGTCATCCTATTTTGCTCCATCCTCTCTAAATGACCAAACCACTTCAGCAACCCCTCCTCAGCCCTATGAATAATACTTTCAGCAACTCAACATCTCCTAATCTGCACACTACAAATTCCCTGCATAATAATTATGCCACACTTTGAATTTTTTTATTTGTGTATATATTCTACAAAAATATTATATATCACTGTCTATTTCACCTCTTATGGTCATGTAGGCATAACTCTGCAGCTGCATCCACCAACACAGCAATATCTTGGGTGTCTCTACTGCTTCTCAAAGTTTTCAATCTGAAAAGAAAAATTATAAGGATATCTATGAATTTTTACCTTAACTATTAACATCAAGGAACAGAAAATTCCACATGAACTCAACTTCAAGAATTCACTTCTCTACAAAGACATGATATGATGATAACATTTGTAAACAACTCTCAGAATGGATGGGAGAAGTAGGATTCTAATCAGTCCTAAAACTGGTAGGCCATGGATTTGAACCTCGTCTTCTGAAAGTTATTACCCTCAAGACAGGGTGAAAAACAAAATTAATCATCTCCTCCCAGCTGCCTTTCCAGAAAAGTATAGACAGAATTATTGCAATGCTGACCCGCCAAGCAAAAACATTCAAACTGCGAGTATTGCTGTACACTAATGGCCCCTCTCAAGGCAGGCCAAATCACAGACCTGAAATATATACAAAGAACTACAGCACATATAAGTATAATAAAGCACATATATTACTGGGAACAGTTGAAGCCCTTTGACCTGTACTCCTTGGAATGCAGGCAATAAAGATGCATGATAATACACACTTGGAAAATCCTAGAGGATCTAGACCCAAATCTGCACACACAAATTACTTCTTACAAAAGCAAAAGACTGGGCAGGCAGTGCAACATCCCCCCAATGAAAAGTACAGTAAGTGTCAGGGGCCTAAGGCTGTTCAAATGCCTCATAGTATACATAAGGGGGATTACCAATAGGCCCCTGGCTGTCTTCAAGAACCTGGACAGGTAACTAAAGTCAGTACCTGACCAGCCTGGCTGATCACGACCTGATCCATCACGAGGCCTGGTCATGGACCAGGCCGCAGGGGCGTTGACCCCCAGAACACCCTCCAGGCATACATGCACTTGCTGGCTAAGCAGCTTCCTTGAATCCTCAATACAAGGTACTGAAAAGAAACTCGTCAGCAGAGAAAATTGCATTTTCTACGCCAAAATTTTCAAAATTCTTTCATTATATACATAACTCAGATTGATGACTTCATCACTTCTACACTGCCTTTTCCTGTAGAGATTAAAGGAATATTAGACTATACAATTATGCCCATAAAAGGTGATTTGACTCCCAGGAAAACCAATGAATTCACCAAACCATAAAGCTCATTAAATTTGATCTAAAGAGAGACCAGTCTGATCAAAATTATAGTATTAGTTACAGAGATAATGTTGAGCTAATTTCCTAATTTTCTCAAAACTGACATTTGGCGAGTGTGTCTGATTTCGACGAATGGTTTGAAAAACCAACAAGTTGAAGATTGAGACACTTATGCAGCATATGGGAATCTTTATTCAGGAAACGTTTTGCCACACAGTGGCTTCATCAGTCCAATATAAAGCAGGTGTAAGGTGAGGAGGAGTTTGAGGTAATCAGTCCCTCAGCCTGGAGTCGATGTGTTCAGTCCATCAATCTTGAAGAATGTACAGCATAGGGTCGTAGACATGGCTTATATATTGTATTCAGGCGAGGCGAAGCAGGAGGCAGAGTCATAGTGGTACCATCCACTAGTCAAAGTACGTCTTCGTCCAAAGGTTGGACAAGTGTTGAAGAATTCTTTGTAACAAGATCCCATGATGCTCTAGTGACAGTTGTGATGAATGGTTTGAAAAACGGACAAGTTGAAGATTGAGACACTCATGTCTACGGCCCTATGCTGTACATTCTATAAGATTGATGGACTGAACACAGACTCCAAGCTGAGGGACTGATTACCTCAAACTCCTCCTCTCCTTACACCTTCTGATTTGTATTAGACTGATGAAGCAACTGTGGCAAAACGTTTCCTGAATAAAGATTCCCATATGCTGCATAAGTGTCTCAATCTTCAACTGCATCTGTTTTCCTAACCACCTCATATGTATGGATCACAGACATCAACAGCATATTAAATCCCAAACTCCTAGCTCTTAACACTACCTCCTCCAAACTAAGACAAATCACCTTCCATCTACCCCATATTTATATACCCAATCAAATGCTCTAATTTAAAACAAACCCATATTTATACACCAACATGTGCATATGGATTTGTGCTTGCTCCAATAATGTACCTACCAGTTAATTCAAATCGGTAAATTAATTTCCTAAAGGAATAAAATATGAGTATACTTCATAAACATACTTATTTACAGATAATGCAACAATGCTGCATTAAAGAATAACATTGCAATCCTGCTACAAAACCTTACAAATTGAGTGAACAAACATACAGAAGATGGAATTTAATATGGACAAGTGTCATGTCTCATGATCATGCAAGGTTGAAGTAGCCTACAGCAATAATGAAAGTAAGTGAATTAAGCACAGGGAGAAAAAAACTCCCACAGTGTACTCAAGCCAGGTAAACAAAGTCAATAACAGGCAACCAAATAAATGCAACCACAAACAGATTTGTACAGCACAAACCAAGCATACATGTTGTAAAGCATCAACAAATCAGAATGTAATCCAGCTGTACAACTGAATAGTTATTCTCTGCCAAAATGGGTTTACAGGAGAGTCCATTGTTCATCAAGAAGGCTAAGCACATCTTACATCTAAGTAGTCTTACCCATGTCGCCTACAGTTACTCTGGAGGCATCCTGTGTGTAGTGCCTCTGTCTGTCAAATGATCTGGGGCATTTTTATCACCCCCAACTCTCCTCTGAACACTAACCCTGGCACCCTCAAGGTATATTAGTGATGATGGAGCTGTCAAGAGAATGAAGTGAGAAACTAATAGTTATGAAGAAAATGGAGATTTTAGATATACTTACAAGTGGAGCATTTGTGAAGCAAACTGCTTATTTCCTTGGTTCCAAGTGAATCAACTATTTGTACAATTAGAAAATGAGAACATAAGAGCTTCTTGTGCAACTAATAATCCCAATTTTGACCTGCTGAAAAGAATGATGGATAAAACTAATTTTTTTTTTTTTTTTTCAACAAGTCGGCCGTCTCCCACCGAGGCAGGGTGACCCAAAAAAGAAAAAATCCCCAAAAAAAGAAAATACTTTCATCATCATTCAACACTTTCACCACACTCACACATTATCACTGCTTTTGCAGAGGTGCTCAGAATACAACAGTTTAGAAGCATATACGTATAAAGATACACAACATATCCCTCCAAACTGCCAATATCCCAAACCCCTCCTTTAAAGTGCAGGCATTGTACTTCCCATTTCCAGGACTCAAGTCCGACTATATGAAAATAACCGGTTTCCCTGAATCCCTTCACTAAATATTACCCTGCTCACACTCCAACAGATCGTCAGGTCCCAAGTACCATTCGTCTCCACTCACTCCTATCTAACACGCTCACGCACGCTTGCTGGAAGTCCAAGCCCCTACCCACAAAACCTCCTTTACCCCCTCTCTCCAACCCTTTTCGAGGACGACCCCTACCCCGCCTTCCTTCCCCTATAGATTTATATGCTTTCCATGTCATTCTACTTTGATCCATTCTCTCTAAATGACCAAACCACCTCAACAACCCCTCTTCTGCCCTCTGACTAATACTTTTATTAACTCCACACCTCTCCTAATTTCCACACTCCGAATTTTCTGCATAATATTTACACCACACATTGCCCTTAAACAGGACATCTCCACTGCCTCCAACCGTCTCCTCGCTGCTGCATTTACCACCCAAGCTTCACACCCATATAAGAGTGTTGGTACACTATACTTTCATACATTCCCTTCTTTGCCTCCATAGATAACGTTTTTTGACTCCACATATACCTCAACGCACCACTCACCTTTTTTTCCCTCATCAATTCTATGATTAACCTCATCCTTCATAAATCCAATCCGCCGACACGTCAACTCCCAAGTATCTGAAAACATTCACTTCTTCCATACTCCTCCTCCCCAATTTGATATCCAATTTTTCTTTATCTAAATCATTTGACACCCTCATCACCTTACTCTTTTCTATGTTCACTTTCAACTTCTACCTTTACACACATTCCCAAACTCATCCACTAACCTTTGCAATTTTTCTTTAGAATCTCCCATAAGCACAGTATCATCAGCAAAAAGTAACTGTCAATTCCCATTTGAATTTGATTCCCCATAATTTAATCCCACCCCTCTCCCGAACACCCTAGCATTTACTTCTTTTACAACCCCATCTATAAATATATTAAACAACCATGGTGACATTACACATCCCTGTCTAAGACCTACTTTTACCGGGAAGTAAGCTCCCTCTCTTCTACACACCCCTAACCTGAGCCTCACTATCCTCATAAAAGCTCTTACAGCATTAGTAACTTACCACCTATTCCATATACTTGCAACATCTGCCACATTGCTCCTCTATCCACTACATATGCCTTTTCTAAATCCATAAATGCAATAAAAACTTCCCTACCTTTATCTAAATACGGTTCACATATATGCTTAAAATGTAAACACTTGATCTACACATCCTCTACCCACTCTGAAGCCTCCCTGCTTATCCGCAATCCTACATTCTGTCTTGCCTCTAATTCTTTCAATTATAACCTTACCGTATACTTTTCCTGGTATACTCACTAAACTTATTCCTCTATAATTTTTACAATCTCTTTTGTCCCCTTTCCCTTTATATAAAGGGACTATACATGCTCTCTGCCAATCCCTAGGTACCTTCCCCTCTTTCATACACTTATTAAATAAAAGTACCAACCACTCCAACACTATATCTCCCCCTGCTTTTAACATTTCTGTCATGATCCCATAAGTTCCAGCTGATTTACCCCCTATCATTCTACGTAATGCCTCACGTACCTCCACCACACTTAACATTCTGCTCTTCTTCACTCCTACAAGATGGTATACCTCCCTGACCAGTGCATGAAATTACCGCCTCCCTTTCTTCCTCAACATTTAAAAGTTCCTCAAAATATTCTCGCCATCTACCTAATACCTCCCTCTCCCCATCTACTAACTCCCCTACTCTGTTTTTAACTGACAAATCCATCTTTCCCTAGCCTTTCTTAACTTGTTTAACTCACTCCAAAATTTTTTCTTATTTTCAT